TTGCCAAGCACCAAATCCAAAGTGGCCTCTCCTCGTGTTGGTCTATCTACATACTGTGTCAGGAATCCTTCCTGAGCGCACTGGACAAAATCTGCTCCATCTAAACTATTACAACTAAAATGTTTCCAATCAATACTTTGAAAGTTGAAGTCACCCATGACTACAACCCTGTGACTTCTGCACCTTTCCAGTATATGCCTCCCAATCTGCTCTTCTACTTCTCTGCAACTATTAGGGGGTCTGTAAAAAAAGCCTAACAAAGTGACTGCTCCTTTCTTGTTCCTGATCTCAACCCAACTGACTCTGTAGACATATCATTCTCGAACTGCCTTTCAGTAGCTGCTATACTCGCCCTGACTAGCAATGCCAGTCCCCCACCTCTTTTTCCACCCTCCCTATTTCTTTTAAAGCATCTAAATCCTGGAACTTCCAACAACCATTCCTCTCCCTGAGTTACCCAAGTTTCTGTAATGGCCACAACATCATAGTTCCAAGTACCGACCCATGCTCTGAGTTTATCCGCTTTATTTCTGATACTTCTAGCATTGAAGTATACACACCTCAAACCATCTCGGTGTCCTCAATTATGCTCCATCGACCGCATTTCTTTATAAACCACCTCACTCCCTGTTGTGTCTGTTGGAAGGCCGAATACCTCATCCTCTGAATTATAAATCCGGTTCCCCACCCCCTGCCAAACTAGTTTAAACCATCCCGTACAGCTCTAGCTAACCTCCCTCCCAGGATATTTGTGCCCTTCCGGTTCAGGTGCAACCCGTCCTTACTGTACAGGTCCCACCTTCCCCAGAATGTGCTCCAATTATCCACATATTGGAAGCCCTCCCTCCTACACCAGCCCTGTAGCCATGTGTTTAGCTGCACTCTCTCCCTATTTCTTACCTCGTTATCACGTGGCACTGGTAGTAATCCAGAGATAACTACCCTGTTTGTCCTGGACTTCAGCTTCCAACCTAACTCCCTGTACTCATTTTTCACATTCTCAGTCCTTTTTCTACCTATGTCATTGGTACCGATGTGTACCATGACTGCTGGTTGCTCACCCTCCCCCTTAAGAATCTTGAAGACACGATCAGAGATGTCACAGACCCTGGCACCCGGGAGGCAACATACCATCCTTTCATCTCGTTCGCATCCACAAAACCACCTGTCTGTGCATTTTACTATTGAATCCCCCACTACAGTTGCTCTCCTATTCTCCCCCTTTCCCTTCTTTGCCACAGAGCCAGGGTCAGTGCCAGAGACCTGTCCGCTATGGCCTTTCCCTGGTAGGTCATCCCCCGCAACAGTATCCAAAACGGTATGCTTATTATTGAGGGGAATGGCCACAAGGGATCCCTGCACTGTCTGCCTATTCCCTTTCCCCTTCCTGACAGTCACCCAGCTACCTTTTTCCTGTAACTATGGTGTGACCACCTCCCTGTAACTCCTCTCTATCACTGCCTCAGCCTCCCGAATGATCCGGAGTTCATCCAGCTCCAGCTCCAGTTCCCTAACATGGTTTTTGAGAAGCTGGAGTTGGGTGCACTTCTCGCAGGTGAAGTCAGAGGGGACACCCGCAGTGACCCTTACAACCACTCAAGTGTTGTTCCCCAAGCTCAGCTGAACTGGTGAGGGTGTCCACGTCCATCAGAATACCTTGCAACTCTTGTGCTCCACTTGCTTCATTTCCAATGATAAAGCCAGTTGTAGTGCCTGTTTGAAGTCCAGTTGGACTTCAGCTAGTAAGTGCTTTTGCATGGTTACATCATTAATCCCACACACCAATCAGTCTCTCAGTATCTCATTAACGGTTAAACCAAAGTAACATGCGTCTGCCAGTCACCTTAACCTACTTAAAAATCCTGATACAGATTCACCTGGCTCTCGAAATGCTGAGTAAAACTGATAGCGTCTCAGAATTAGAGGAGAGTTGGGGTCACAATATTCCTTAACTAAATCCATCAACTCTTGAAAGGTTTTAGTATCCAGTGCCTCATGGAAAGTTAGGCTCTTAATAACCAAAAAAGTTACAGGTCCTCAAGCTGTCAGGAGAACTACTTATTGCTTTTCATCTGCCCCCATGCCACTTGCCTGGAAAAAATAAAGCATTCTTTCCACATTCTGATGTGATGATGCAGTCACTTTACAAGGTTACTTGTCCTGGATTTCTTTGAAGAGAGGTTGCAAAGCAGAGGTGAAAAACTGGCTATTGGAAGATGACTTAGGTAAACAACTTATGAGGCTTAGGTATTTTTTTAAAGTTGGAATGATGGAAGCAGCCTTAAGTGAATGTGGCTAGCTCTCAAATCCAGATTTCTGATTTTGTTTTTTTCAGTAACATCAGAAGCTGTTTAAGGTCTCAAAAGAGTTGGAAGCTTCAGTGAATGTCTCTTGGCTTCTACACTCCCTGAATTTTCTCTTGATGTCTCTTCCTTCTGGATTGGAGACAAGAATGTAAGAATCTGCGTCTGAATTTGCCTTTATGCCAAGGGGTGTGTTTATGGGATATTACTATATTGGAACAGTTCATTACTAATAGTTACTGTATCTATTATTTGGTTAAGTTTTCCAATAGCTAATTTATTCTACATTCTGCTTTCTTTTGTTTGTGTTTTAACTATACTGTTTAAATAAATTATGTTTTCATTAATGTTGAATAGTTTGACTAGTCGCATTGTGCCAGGAACACAAAACTTCACATCTTCCTTTCAAATAAGAAAAAGTTAGGGTCTAGGCTACCTTCTTAAAATATTTTGAGGGGGTCTGGTCTGGTCCATAACACTGGGCCCAGTCTTCAATGGCAGGATTGAATGTGTCAAGCTTCCCAAATAACACCATGATGCCAGAAATGCTTACCCCCAACACAAAGAAGATTATTGCGAGCAAATTTCTTCCAGAGTGTGCTTTTTCTTTCATTTCCACTGAATTAACTCTATAGAGGCTGGTATCCCATTACCAAGTCACTCTTTATTTACACGCAGAGAGTTCTTGTCACTGATTCAGCTCCCTCAGAGCCAGCTCTCAGAGTGAATGGAACCTCTCACACTCCTGTTTTTATCTGTCAGCCAGGGGTCCCTGACTGCACCAGATTATAAACTGCAATCAGGGGACTCATTCTATGAGATCCACCTGGCTGACCTCTTTACAATCAGTATGGTGGTGAGCTGCCTTCCTGAACAGTTGCAATGTTTGGGATGGAGAGAAAACTGCAGTTCTGTCAGGAAGGAAATTCCAAGGTTTTGACCCAATGACAGTGAAGGAACAGTGATATAGTTTCAAAGTCAGTATGGTATATGGCTTGCATGGGAACTTGAAAATGATGATGCTCCTTTACATTTGCTTCCTTTGTTCTTGTAGGAGTTAGAGGTTTGGGTTTGAAAGGTCCTTGGTGAGATAAAGCGGTGCATCTTGTAGCTAGCACAGACTGTTGCCACTGCCAGTGGTGAAGGGAGTGAATGCTGAAGGTGATGAATGGGGTGCCAATCAAGTGGGCTGCCTCGTTTTGTAGATGTAAACCTGCTTGGATGTTGTTGGAGCTGCACCCATCCACACAAGTGGAGAGTATTCAATAATGCTCCTGATTGGAGTCAGGAGGTGAGTTACTTGCTGCAAAGGTCAGAGTATCCAAACTGCCTTTATAGCCACAGTTTGTTTATATGATTGGTCGAGTTGAGTTTCAACATTAAAGGTTAGCCCCAGAATGTCGATAGTAAAGGATTCAACGATTGTAATGAATGTCAAAAGAAGATGGTTAGATTCTCCTTTGTTGAAGATGGCCATTGTCTGGTACTCATGTTGAATGTTACTTGCCATGTATTGGGCGCTTTGGTATGTACAGAGATTGTTAATGTAAAACTTTCAAGTTTTTACTGGTAGATTCTGTTACTATTTCTATTGTCCTGTCTTTTATTAATATGATTAGTTTTTATACTTATTTCTCCCAGTGTTTCAGTTTTCTTTACCCAAATAAAAAAATGTATTTTACTGTAACATGTGATGAGATTTCCTTACAGTTAAAAGCAAGGAGGGAAAATTACATATTTGTATATCAAACAAAACGTAAATCCCACTAGACAACATGATTATATGTTCTAAAGACATTCTTATCTGGAAATTTGAGATAGTTTTATACATTTTCAGAACAGCAGAGCAAAATTTAGAATCTACATGACAGAGATCCGCAATGAGATCAGTAGATGATAACTTTACCCCTCATGAGATCTGTGATCCCATTAAAGACAATCCATTATTGAAGTGCTGCAGTGTTTTTCCAATTCAAAATGCTCTTCTACTCGTCTAATGTGGAACATTCACTCAATATGCTGGCAAAAGTGAACTCAAACCCTGGCAGTCAAGTAGAACCTTTCATAGTTCATGTACTGGGCTTGGGCAAACTATACTTCAAATCAACACCCAAATATATTTCCTGATGGCTCAACAGGAAATTGCATATACTAACATATATAAACTAGCATCATCCGATCGCCAATCACAGATCTGTGTCACATTCTCCTATCTCAGCCACGGCTGCAATTGTTTGCAGGGTCCAGAGGATGAACTAGTATGACAGGGTACTTACTAATCATTATCAGTAGCTCCTATCAAAATAGGTTCACATCTGTGCACTGGAGGTGTACAAAGTCAAACATGCTGTGATATTGCTCGTTAGTCAGAATTCACTGCTTGAGTCTACATGTTCATGATTTTTGAATCAGATATCATATGAAAGCTGAGAGTGTGGAAATATGCTGAAGCACAAATCAATGCTCTTGAGAGAAAGGTAAAAGATTGGAGGGAAGCAAATTAATGTGAATGCTTATTGTTAATGGCAATTTTAGATAGCCACACCCAGAGACTTATGATCATGTAAGTAATATGTGCTTGATTATCATGACCTTGAGTTCCTATTGTATGCTGTGGAACATGTAATTAAACGGGTTCATAACCATCTAATTTATTCCCTTTGTATTGCATTATGAGGTGATGAAATATGCACTTACTGCTTGGCTGAAGACAACATCTCTCCTCTGATGCAACGCCAGGGCCTGAGATATATTGGAACCATAATCTTGAAGAAGAACAAATACCATGGCCTTCTTTGCTCTGTCAATCACTTCCTTGACACAGTCCTTTAAAGTAACTACCAGAGGGTACAGCTGTTCATACCAGTCATCTTACAAAATAAATCCAGCACAATGAATTAGCAAACCATACATTAAAAATGCTGCTTTGTTCTTATATAGATAAAAGCAAAACAATTGTAAAATGGCAGAAATATAATAAACACTGGCTTATTTTAAGATATCCAGGCTGGCCTAGTTATCTTCCACACATTTGAATTATATGTCCCACTGAATCGCTAAAAGAAAACCTCATAATGAGAAACATTTAAAGAAATTATTAATTGGCTTCTTCAAATGCTCTGGAAAACAAAAGTTTTCAGCATGAATTCCCTTCAAAATAAATACAGGTTAAGATACAGCCTGTACTATATACTAACACATATTAAATAGTTCAAGGGTAGGGAGATAGTAGGAACTGCAGATGCTGGAGAATCTGAGATAAAAAGGTGTAGAGCTGAATGAACACAGCAGGCCAAGCAGCATCATAGGAGCAGGAAGGCTGACGTTTCGGGCCTAGACCCTTTTCTGATGAAGGGTCTAGGCCTGAAACGTCAG